GTCAAGGTGGCAGCTTTAGGTCGGGACAGCTTCTCATACCAGGTCGGTCAGTGGATATAGCTCTGACGAACACAGTCTCTCGATCCTCTAGACTGAGGTTAGGGATTGACGGCGACTTTTTCCTTAAAGTAACTTGTACTACTGTCGTAGAATGTTGGCACCTACCCGCTACCTTGTGGTCAGGCTTTCGGTCCAAAGGTATTGGTTGAGGAACCTAATCGTCACCTTTTCTAGGCGTGGTCGCTCCCACAGTGTCCTAACGCAAATAAAAGCACGAATGGAAAGGTGTGAATAACGCTGGGAACGTTTGCAGTTTGTTTCACTTGATTGGTCTTTGGAATTCCCCTGTCCGAGACTAAAAATGGCCCTTTGACATCCAGCAAAGGAGTACTTTTGAACCATTCGAACAACACCTACATCCAATCTGGACTACCGGCCTTCAACTGTAACTATGGAGCCCTCTTCAGCCTCGGAAGTACCCGAGTGTTTATCTGTACTCAAGCGTCATCGCGCTCCTGATCCTGACCACACTCAACATGATCCGTTCCTCAGCCAGTGCTCGTCTAGACCATTTGCGTCTATCTGGAGGAAGAGACTGTTCCATACAACTGGGGTGATCCGATAATAGTGCCCGTTTTCACAAAGGATACTCGCAGTAAATATAGTAACCACAGGTGTGAGGTTGACTTCTGTTGTAACAGGCCTTCTGGCGTCAGTGATTCTTCGCTGCCTCACGACGTCACGCGAATCATTGACCCGTGAGCATCAAGCGAGATTTCGATTGGGTAGAGGCTGTCTCAACCACATCTTCACACTCTGTCAGGTGTGTGTGTGTGGGGGGGAGGGGGCGAGATGGCCCAAGTGGTTTGAGCGCGAATTTACTAACCGAAAGGTTCGTGGTTCGAACCCGACCTCTGCCACTCGACTTCCCCTGTCTAGGCCTGGGCGACCTCTTAGTATCCCAGCCCTCGTGCTTCCTCCGGGTGGCATGGCAGCTAGGCACCGGAAGGGTGTTACAGCTGAACGACTATTATTTATTTATTATTTACTCTGTCAGGTGTCAAAGCGACGCAATGTGCACAAACGACCAACAATCTCAGTATTCCTTGACTTCAAGGGTGCGTTCAGCTCTCAAGCGATCAGTGCTGTGTACGACACCTACTCAACAGGGTATGCTACAGAATTTGTAAACATATTCACATTTGGACGTGTGAGAGTGTATGGTGAGCTCTCCAAAAGCCTCCCTACGAAGGGTGCTATCCAACAAGGATGTCCACTCCCTCCATTCTTGTTCGACTTAGTCCATGATGGAATAATGCGGCGAACGCCAGAAGATTTTCAAAACCCCGGCTTCCAAATCGTTGCCATTGAAGAATGTGTCCAGCACCGGAAGCTGCGTTGGTTTGGACATGTGTTACGTATGCCGAACCATCGCTTGCCGAAGAGAGTGCTGTTTTCCATGCCCAACTCATAGTGGTGTAAACAGAGAGGTGGCCAACCCTTGACCTGGCAGAGGAGTATGAAGGAGATCACGAAACGCTTGGGTGCTGTCGGTGCTACTCGCCTTCCAGGATGAGGACCGCGTGATCCTCATTGTGCCTGGTTGGAGACACTACAAGAT